CGAGACAGGAAGATGTTGAACGGTGTGTTAGGTATATACGAGCTGAAACGAGTTGTAAAATTTATCGGTGGTGAATTTCACCGGCTATGAATACTTAAACGGACAGCTCAGATCGCGTAATGCTCGTTGGCGATTATACTTTTTAAATCCGGAGTAGATTGTTGGGTAGGAAACCGCGTGGAATTTCACGGCGTGATGACCGTAGCATGTGGCTGGGAATATTGTAGGAAGTAGATAGAACCGCTTAGGTGTAAGGAGATCTCAGAAATCCGAATAAATGCGGTAGATGAAGAAAGAAATTGACGGATGATGTCAAAAAATTTGATCGAGGAGAAACGGAATAAAAAAGAGAAAAGATTTTTGTGCCGGGTCGATACTGGTGTTCGCGAACAGATCGAGAACCGTGTTCGAGACATTTTCGTGTGCATTAAACTCATTGTTCGCAAGCTGCTCGCAGACTGTTCGCGAACAGTTCTGGACAGTGTGAATTTGGAATTACACATCGATGAAATGATTCTCTTTCGTATTAACCCTTTCGTTTACGGTCATCTCTGCCGAAAAAGAGAATTACGTAGTAGAAAGGTGTATTTTAGAGAACCTCAGGTTTGCACCAAACTATTGAAACACCCTGTATGTAGATATTCGTTCGTCTTTTTTATAACTACTTAATAAATCATTTCTGGACACGAGTTTATATGAACTTTTCTTATCTATTTTACTTCTTGAATACCTTGCCTCAATTTTGCACCAAACTATTGAAACACCCTGTATGTAGATATTCGTTCGTCTTTTTTATAACTACTTAATAAATCATTTCTGGACACGAGTTTATATGAACTTTTCTTATCTATTTTACTTCTTGAATACCTTGCCTCAATTTTGCACCAAACTATTGAAACACCCTGTATGTAGATATTCGTTCGTCTTTTTTATAACTACTTAATAAATCATTTCTGGACACGAGTTTATATGAACTTTTCTTATCTATTTTACTTCTTGAATACCTTGCCTCAATTTTGCACCAAACTATTGAAACACCCTGTATGCAGATATTCGTTCAAATCATTTCTGGACATGAGTTTATATGAACTTTTCTCATCTATTCTACTTCTTGAATACCTTGCCTCAATTTTGCACCAAACTATTGAAACGCCCTGTATCTAAATAGATACTCATCACATGTCCACCTGAAAATTAATCCTCCTTTCAACATGAACTGAACACGATTATTAATATTGTGAATACTTCTCGATACCGACGTATAGTAGAAATATTGACAATATTATTAATTACCCTATTACTCAGATTGCTTTTTAACGTACAGGTACAGTCGTCTGTAGCATCGAAAGAGTTAAAACTCGATAAAAGAAACTGTTCGATCCAGTGAAATTCTCTTTATTCACAGATTGGTAACGACATGTTCGAATTACTAGACGGTGTGGTTGGTCTAGCATTTTCTGCTCGTCTTGGAACGGTCTACTATCAGCCTCTAGCGACAGATCGTCTGTTCAGCATACCGACAACGGCTCTTCAAGCTGGTCCTCCGGCCTTCGGTGAACAGTTACCTGTAACATTGGTCGGCAAAAAGTCCAGTCAAGGTCTCGCGTTGGCCGTTGACCCTCGCGACGATACGATTCTCTTTGCACCTTTCACAGAAACCATCATTGCTGCCTGGCAGCCTCAAACCAATAAACAAAGGTATCTATCGATATTTTGTGGTAATTTTCATCACGAGTGTACTCGACTAACCTTGAATAAGAAGATGAGGCAAGAATACAGCGAATCGTTCGTTTCTATTTATTCTACCAGTCTCTTCTCTTTGTTTTTTTAACAGACGTCGCTTCCTTTAGAGATAATTGCTTGTCGTTCTACGGATTGAAAAATTCGAGGAACGAGTATTAATGCTTGAAATTAAATGAAATCACTGCGCGTGCTTTGGTACGGTGTGTAATTAAATTGGAACTGTTTACCCTGCAATGTTTGACTCGAACACGAACACTAGACACATTCTGGTGGAAGTCTTAGTGCCCTTGTCTAAAAGAACGCGGAGACATTTTTGCCCTCGCTTGATTATTTCTACAGGGTGTTGTTAGAAATAATCCAGCAATCTAACTTAGAGCTGTCTAAGTTATCCAAGTTATCATTTCCAAAATTATCGCACCTGTTACTCTCCTTCAGGATCGTCGCCTTCAGTCCGGAGAAGCTCCAGTTCACCGCTGAAATCCGATGGGCGGAACACGACAACGGCAACATCTGGATAATGTCCAGCAGGTTCCAGAAATTCTTCAGGCGGCAGGTGAACATACGCGACATCAACATCCGTGTGATGAGGTTGAGGCCAATCTTCTTCTGAAGTAAACGATTCTCAACACCCTCCCTTAACCCTACTTTCCCATCCTACTCTTACTACAACACGATAGGCTTCCGAAGTGTCCAAGTAGACCAACTATGCATCGTTCAAAATAAGAGTAACCTCGCTCTCGGATCGAGTCTCGTCCGTTCTGCGCATAGATGGAGAGCGTAGCAGAGGGTAAGACGGAGAAAAACGTAGGCGGTCTGGACGTTCTAGCCTTGCCTTAGGCACGTCCCCTGCGCGAAGCGAGGTTACTCTTATTTTGAACGATGTATATTAATTGTACGGTTCAGCGTGTAATCTGACAGAAAGCTTCCTGAAAACTTTGCCAAGATTAACCCTTTCGCTGCGGCAGATTTCAGCGAAAATTTCATTCAGAACGAAATCTCTCGTTTTCCCCGTATTTTGGCGTTTCGAAATTTATTTTAGTAAATTAAGATAGAAGCGAAGCGGCAGATTTCGGCGAAAATTTCGTTCTCTACGAAATCTCTGGTTTTCCCCGCACTTTGGCATTTATTTCATTAAATTAAGATGGAAGCGAAGAAAGGATTAAATTAAGGATTAATCCTTTTAAGAACACTTTTGTTTCCCTTGTATATTTGTCAGAAAGTACTCTGACTCGGAGTAGGGTGGGCGTGAAATTAATCGAACGTGTCTACGTTTTTACAATAGTATATGCCACATAAGAATTATATCCGCGTTATCTGAGCGTCGTTCGCAAAAAGTGTGCTTCGAGATGTCCTGCCGATCCCTGTCCACCCCTACGCGAACAGGCCCAGGGAAAGACCCAAAGGGGCGTGTCGCCCCCACCAAGCGCGCTGGGCCTGGCTTCAAGTCTTCGGAATGGATTCTTTCACATATTGAATAATCTAATTTTTACGTAGATATAAGCATAAATCGGAGAATTTTCTTTACAAAATTTGATCGACATTATCGCACGAACTCCGCTTAATTGAAATTCAAATTTCTACGGGATATTTGCTATTTGAAAATGCGAATGCTACATCTCGGACAACTGTAATTGTTCATATTATACGCTGACTATTTTACTAGAACGACCATAATCGTTCATAGTAGCGAAAGGCTTATATTAAGCTGGAAGCGCGGCGAAAAATCGTTAAAAAGAAATCTCGTAGGCGCGAACAGCAGTGAAAGGGTTAAATCAAAGTGGAAGTACAGTAGTGCACGCATAAGCGTCCGCATTTTTGCACACTTAAGCGTGCGTCGCTATCCCCACCAATTCTTGGAAATGGGACTTCCGAGTGGAGTTCGAACGTGCCGAGTGAAACAAAGTACAGTAGTGCACGCATAAGCGTCCGCATTTTTGCACACTTGAGCGTACGTCGCTATCCCCAGCAATCCTTGGAAATGGGACTTCGGAGTGGAGTTCGACTCCTGAATGTGAACAACTGACACTCGATATATCGGTATCCCACTCACACACATCTCCTCTCTTCTCTTTAGTTAACCTTTTAGATACGGTACGCCACTGTAGTGGTTTCCGCGGATAGCACCAATTTGGACGGTACGACTCTATAGTGACTTTCGTGGATATCATGATTTTGGACGGTATTATACGTTTTCTGCTTTATTTCGCATTTGTCTCGCGAAATATCGCGAATTCCTGGCAATATCGAAGCTGTCGTTGAAGAGTACACGTGTCAGAGAATCGTCATGAACGGTTTTTGTGCCATCCGCGGCCAGGCCCGCGGTTCCAGGGGTACACACTTGCGGACGAGCGCGCCGTACCTATAAGGTTAAATTCGCAGAAGACACCGCCCCACTTAAGCGTCCGCATCCGGTCCCGACTGCGGACGCTTACGTGTGCGCTACTGTAGTTACCTAAGAAGAATGGAGAACTTGCTCTTATCGAGAATAAACAAAAATGTTCACTGTTTTGACACTTTCTTGGTAAGTACAGAAAGTGGAAAGGGAATATTGTTTCTTTTCCTTTAGAAAACCTGTAGATAGGACAAGAGTTGATACAACGATAAGATGTTAAACGATTGAATCATTTATTACAGTAGAAACTGATCTATTTATTCGTTGGCAAATAGCTCTTGTACGTGTACCATGATTTATACTTGTTTTTACTGTAGATGACACCATGATTGAATATACGTGTAGACGAAACCTTAGCAAACAAGTTTTATTTCTCCAAAAGAGTTGGAATATTTCTGAAATTCTTGCCGCTCCTTTCACGCTCCACATCCAATGTCACTATTCTAAAAATACCCGAGCATCGTAAATTGCGGATTATCGAAGAATTTCGAAAGTTACGTTGACAAATTCGTTGAAACTCTATCAGAGATACAAGGATGTTCGTTGCGAATGTGTAATTTTCTTTTTTGCCCATCTTGTAATTGATATTCAAGATTCAATATTCAATGATTTTGCAATTTCAACGCGGAAAATCATCGGCTAAACGGAAGTTCCCGCTGTCGCATTCGTTCTTTAAATCGAACCTGCGCGTGTTGGTATTTTTGCATAACTGCAATTGATGCAATCGTCGATTAAATCGTTTCGATACTTTATCCACGTGTGAAAATTGTTCTCTATTGTTCTCTGATGATGTCGACTCCATCTACATTTTTTATAACTTTCCTCTCACATTTCAGATAAATAATTGTGCGTTTATGATGCCTTAGGACTTATAGAATTATTAATCTCGCTACAATTTTGGGTGCCCGGACTGCTACAAATTTGCCACTTTTTCAACATCCTCCTTTGTTCGTATCGTGCTATTGGAGCCTCTTGGTGCACTTCTATGTCAATTCAAGCGTTCATTCGATCCTCTGCACTCTTCCGCGTTAATTCAGTGAAACGAAATTTTAAAATGGCGCGGCTAAAAAAGAAAGTTTGCGACCGTTGTGGAATATTTGAATTTGCCACGCGCGTTGTGTACTAAAATTCGCCGTAGCCAAAGGGGTTAAGGGAACACCCCCTGCATATTTTTTACATTGCGTCGTAAATAAAAATCACATACATAACAGTTTACGTATCAGCCAATAGCAAATAACAATCAGTAAATGAAATTTAAGAAAAAGGAAATTGTCAGAATTTTTGAAATTTTGTCGGAACGCTTTCTCTAAGTTCACGGAGCACCGGTTAAGAACCACTGACGTAGCGCACAGTTCAGTGACACTTGAAAAAATTTAACGCGACGCATTCGTTAAGACGTAATCGTAAGAGTAAACGAGGAAGCGTATTCTAACGTGACCTGTAAATTATTCTTCGAACGTAGTACCGCACGGTGAGTCATTGCGTTATAATAAAGTAGTACTACGTTCTTGCGTGAAATTTCATTCTGTTGATCCTTTCTGAGAGAAGCGAGTCGGTTACTCTGATCTTAGTTTTAAAAGAGCGTGTTGGGTCATTTCGTAAGTTTGGGTTGAAAGTGAAAAATGTTTTACGGAAATGTTGAGGAAGTACTATAGCGTAATGATTTCACCAAACAGGAGGAAAAAATAGAAAAAAGTTGTGGAATAAGAAAACGTTTAGTTTCTTTTCTATCAGATTTTGAAATTTTCTTGGTAATTATTCATCTGAATGGTAAAAATTGTGGAGTTAGAAGGCGCTTACGTTTACTTTCTATCAAATTTTAAAATTTTCTTGGAAAATATTGAGAAAAATTATGGAATAAGAAGGCGTTTTCGTTTCTTTTTTATGAAATTTAAAATTTTCTTGGAAAATATTGAGAAAAATTATGGAATAAGAAGGCGTTTTTGTTTCCTTTCTACCAAATTTAAAATTTGCTGGGAATATTGATCTAAATAATAAAAAATTGTGGAGTTAGAAGGCGCTTACGTTCTTTTTTATGAAATTTAAAATTTTCTTGGAAAATATTGAGAAAAATTATGGAATAAGAAGGCGTTTTCGTTTCTTTTTTATGAAATTTGAAATTTTCTTGGAAAATATTGAGAAAAATTATGGAATAAGAAGGCGTTTTCGTTTCTTCTTTATGAAATTTGAAATTTTCTTGGAAAATATTGATCTAGATAATAAAAAATTGTGGATTAAGAAGGCGTTTATGTTTACTTTCTACCAAATTTAAAATTTGCTGGGAATATCGATCTAAAAAATAAAAAATTGTGGAATAAGAAGGCGCTTAGGTTTACTTTCTACCAGATTTAAAATTTTCTTGGAAAATATTGAGAAAAATTACAGAATAAGAAGACCTTTACGTTTTTTTAAATCAAATTTAAGGTTTCATTGAAAATAACAAGTTCGCGCCAAAAGTGACAGATACTTTAACAAAAATCCAAGGAAATACTATAGCGACGACATAATGCCCTAAAAAAAAGAGAAAAATAGAAAAAAAATTCAGAAACAAAGAGGCCCTTACATTCTTTCCTACCAAACTTAAAATTCCATCGAAAATATCGATCCAAATAAAAAAAAACTCATACTCCAAGAAGGCTTACATTCTCCCCATCAAATTCAAAGTGAAACAATAAAAATCAACACAAACTCGTAGAACACCCAGCGCATACCCAATCACCCAAGAATTCTCCCCAAAAAAGTGAAGCACCACGCAATCTTATTTCTCAACTAATTCTCAGTCTCACCTCGCAGCTTACTTACTCAATACACCAAACATCCTCACGAAGAAACGCACAACTGACCAATCACCAAAACTTTCATCCAAAACAGGTTCCTCAACATTTCCAACTTTTCTACTCGCTTCCTCCGTCCGTTCACCCTTGAACAAGGATTTCCCTGATCGAGCCAAAGATAAAACGGCAATAGAGAGATTCGTCAACGTTTCACCTGGGGTTTTCCCATCCTCGATGGCCCCCTTCGTTCGCCGTTCGATCCCGGTGTGTTTAGGCGTCTCTGAATTATCTGTAAGCGGCAGTGAGTTTCTTCGAACCGAGAAAACCTGCTCCGCGACCGTGACCAGAGAAGACCAACACACTACGTAAAGAACTTGCCCTACTCGATCTCTGAACGGAGATACTTTATTGACGACGGGATCGTTGGCTCCACGAGCATCTGTCTGCCTCAGTCGGTGGTGAAACGTGGAGACGAGTGCAACTCTGTGCGTCTCATCGTCGTCTGTGAAGAATTGAGTTGTTGGTACTTTTTTGTGAGATTTTTGGTTGCAATTTTTTGTCGGACGTTGGATTCGTGGTAATTTTGGTTTAACGTGCTAAGTGGGGAAGATGAGTTGAGGTTTCTTTGGCTAGGTAATAGATCGGAGGCTGTAGTTTGTGCAGCGAGAGTTGAAGTTGAGGTGATTTGTTGGAAGTTTGTACTCAGTTTTATACGTGAATTAAGCAGTTGTTCAGCTTTCAGTTTTGCTTGTTAAATGTAAGATAGATCGTATGGAAATTTGCAAGGACTGAAATTGAGGTGATTGGTTATAATTTTTACTTATTTTTAGTTGTAAATTGGGGTTTGTGTTGAATCTCTCCCTAATTTATAATTAAAAATAAGGAAAAATTATGTCTCTGTTTGTGTTCAGTTTTCCGTGTTAAATGTAAAATACATCTTAACACGTTGACCTCGTAGCTGGCAGTTTGCTGGTAGAAGTGACATCCTATTCGGAGACGCCCGGGCCACGAGATAATTCGAAAGCATTTTCTTGCAAAAAAACAATTAAAATTAAAGTCATAATATAAAAATTACTGTGTTTGTTTCATTCTATACGATAAATTGAAAAGAAAATGTTGGCGTCTAGAACAGATTTCTTCAAAGCAGTCTTGGCAGTCAACGTGTTAAGCAAGTTTGCAGGAACCAAAATTGAGGCGATAGGTTGGAATTTTGACACAGATTTAATTATAAGTTGGAGAGAGATTTCATTTCTGTTTGTGTTCAGTTCTCTGTGTTAAATGCAAAAGAGTTCGTATGCAAATTTGCAAGAACCAAGATTGAAGTGATTGGTTACAATTTTCACTCACTTTCAATTACGAAATAGAGAGAATGAAACATAAGACAAATTATAATTTGAGGCGATTGGTTGGAATTTTTACTCAGTTTTAATTACAAGTTGGGGAGATTTCATTTCTGATTGAATTCATTTTTCTATATTAAATATCAAATATTTCGTAATTTGCAAGAACCAAAATTCAAGTGATTAACTATAATTTATACTCAGTGTTAATTATAAATTAGGGAGAGATTCAATTTCTGTTCGTGCTCATTTTTCTGTACTGAATACAACATACGTCATAATTTGCAAGAGGCTAAGAGATCACTTACAATTTAACATCTAGAGAGACTAAATTTTCCATTCGCACTCGTTCCCCGGTATTAAACACCAAACGCGTCAAAATTTACAAAAACCAAAATGAAAACTGTCATTCACAATTTTTACTCAGTCCTAATTCTAAACTACACACAGATCCATTCGACTCACGAACCCATTTAACAAATTAATCAACGAACCTTCCACTGCAGAATCTCTAAAACTTACGATTCATTTCGACGGTGCATTCATTCGCGTAAATATCCACGAGAGATTGTGAATGAATTCCGTTGAATCGCTCGAGGGTTATCGAAGCGCCACACTTAGCCGCCAGATGATTATCGAATAATCGAGTAAGAGCCGTACCTAATTTCTAAATTTCCACTCTTCGCCACTTTTCATCGATGTTTTTGTCTGGTTTCGGTGAAAGTTTCGCGGAAAGAAAGAGCCAGGTGACACCGAAAAGAGATCACGTTCACGAGAGAACGAGCAACGAGGACTTCTGCGAGTTCTGCTGGACAATCTGACGCAGCGGAAGTGAGGGAGCAGGTACAGGCGTCACGGTCACGTTTGGGAACCGGAAGTTAGCTACCCTGAGCGTCGTTTCGCCGGGTTTCGCGATCGCTGCGGTGAGTTTCGAAATCTGGGCCGGCTTTTTAGCAATTGGAACGCGGCAATTAATACTCGGTTCTTTTCTTCGAAGGAAAAGAGTGTTCTTGCGATTAGGCGGTTCTTGGGACACTGTGAAGTTTGAGAAAAAGATTTGGACGTGAAGTGATTGGAAGAGAATTGTGACTTGTTTCCTTGGGATATTGAAGTTTCGTTCTTTGGAATATGAGATTTATGGTTTCGAGATGGGGAAATTGAGTAATTGAAGAAAATAGTAAATTATTTCTTTGGGATATTATTCTTTCGTACTTTGGAAATTGAGATTTGCGAAATTTAGATTTGTCGATCCAAGTTTTGGAAATTGAGATCTGCGAAATTTAGAGTTGTCGATCCAACATTTGGAAATTAGGTAATTAAAGAAAAATAGTAACTTATTTCTTTCGAATATTATCGTTTCATATTTCGGAAATTAAGATTTATCGTTTGCAGATTTGGAAATTGAGATTTGCGAAATTTAGATTTATCGATCCAACATTTGGAAATTGAGATTTGCGAAATTTAGATTTATCGATCCAACATTTGGAAATTGAGATTTGCGAAATTTAGATTTATCGATCCAACATTTGGAAATTGAGATTTGCGAAATTTAGAGTTGTCGATCCAACATTTGGAAATTAGGTAATTAAAGCAATATAGTAACTTATTTCCTTCTAATATTATCGTTTCAACATTTTTTCATTGATACTTGAATTGGAACATTTTTATTACACGACGTTTCAGTCACCGCGAATCTCGAAAAAAGAAACGAAGCGATTAAAAATATCGTTTCATATTTTCTATTTTCATTGGAAAATACCGTCCGTATATCTCAATTTCATGTTACACAAATTTCCAATTAGAGACGATACTCAAGTCAGCAAAACTTGATAAAACCATCGACAAACGAAGTAATTAAACAAATATCGTTTCACATTTTACCATTCACTGTGCACACACGAACGATTCAATGTATGCAGCAACCATTACATAATTCCCCAACGCGATGAACGACGAGAAAACTTGTATCTCGTACCAGAGTGTTTATTAATCGACAAATATCTCAGAACTCGGTATTTCCAAAATTTGTCTCTTCCAATCATCGCTAAAAAAGAAAAACACTTTCAGCAAAGATAATTGCAAATTTATTCAAACTTCAAGATCCTACATGCCTGAAAAATAAAATCATCTGGAGAATATGAAAAACAACTTAGAAGCGCCACGTAATTCTCGTATCACTGAAAAATAACCAATCAATTACGAAGCGTCGTTGAAAGATCAATCTTCTCGATAGACAGGCGTAAAATTGCCAGCAGATAGATTAGAGGCAGAAAATAAAGAAATACAATCTAACAAATGATTATTTTCCATTCAGTTCGAAGATGAAGCGATTCAACGTGACAGTACTGCTGTTAATCGCAATTTCCCATTCGAGAGCTACCGAAAAACTGAAAAGCATATTCTCCTGGAAAGCGTTGGAGTTCAATTTTCCGAGCGAACACGCGAGATTGACGGCGATTAAAAATGGAGACTTCATACCTGGTAACTCGTTACCCATAGACATGGACGTTTATCAAACAGGTAGATAAAAGAAATGTATTGTACGTGCTTTACTGTTTTCCCTTCGGGATTACAAAGTTCCGTTTCTCTCTACATCGACCGTATACTATAAATTAGCTTATCCTCTTCTCATCTTATCTTTATCATATTCATATTCTAACTCCTGTCTATACACTTTATTTATTATTTATCGTCTATACTTTGTTGCACTACCCTTATGCTCTCCATCTCACCGACTAATCTTCTTCCTTTGGCTCTGTTTCCACCTGCTTCCTCTGCTCCCTTAAAAGAAACGTATTGTTGTTTAGCGTAAAAGAATTTGGGATATTTCTGAGAATTTTCGAGGAATTTTTGCGAATGGAAAATGACGATTCTCGTTACTTTTTCAAGAGACAACGTCGACGGTGTTCATTTCCATCCCGAGGTTCCAAGATGGCGTGCCCGTGACCGTGGGTTACGTAACCGAGCAAGTGTCGGAGGACGGAAACCCCATAATCGCGCCGTATCCAAGCTGGAGGTACAATAAGATCAACAACTGCGATACGCTGACCAGTGTTTTCAGAGTTGAGGTATTATTTTTTAAGCAAAATTCAAATGTGTGTTTTTTTATTTACAACAGCTTGTTGGTTTGTGTCACAGATTTTGGATATTATAGTTATGTCACTGACAATAATTAATTCTAATTCCAATTTTCGATTTAATTTGTAAAACTGAAGATTGGCAAATTTCATTGATTTATAATATATTAGCGATTTCTACTTGATATAGTATTGACACAGTAAATAACTTAGATGCATAGGTAGGAAAAGAAATCATGCGTCCAGGGGTTAAATCGAGACGAAGAAAAATCTTCGAACAATGGAAAATCTATTTTATAGATTTATAAAGAAAAATAAAATTTAATTCGAATTTTCCATTTAATTTATAAAACTGAAGATTGCCAAATTTAGTCGATCCATGATACATTAACGTTTCTTACTTAATACAGTACTAAAGCAGGAAAAGAAATCATACGTGAAGGGGTTAAATAGAAACGAAGAAAAATCTTCGAACAATGGAAATATTGGAAGATCTATTTTATAGATTTATAGAGAAAAATGAAATTTAATTCGAATTTTCCATTTAATTTATAAAACTGAAGATTGCCAAATTTAGTCGATCCATGATACATTAACGTTTCTTACTTAATCCATCACTAAAGCAGGAAAAGAAATCATACGTGAAGGGGTTAAATATTGGACGATTGCAAAAATTCGTGCCTGATATTCAGGGGTTGCGGGAACTTATCACGCTTCGACACAGATGTTTATTTTAACGTCATGTTACATTCCTATCGAAAGATACACCGCTTGTGTTTCATTTTTAGATAATTGTTCGTTTCATTTCATTTTATTTTCGAATGAAATCATCCAATAGAAACGAAGAAAAATCTTCGAACGACGGAAACCCCATCTGGAAAATCTATTTCCTCGGTTACTTAGAAATACCTTTATCTTAAACTTTAACTATTACCTTTATCTGTCACTGTGACTCGACAATGATAAATCGTTCAAAGAACAATGATCAATTTGAATCGTTCAACAATGATTTATTTGAACCGCGACATCCACTACAGAACTATTGTTTCCTTCATGGGCATTTCCAATTGCTAATCACCAGCGAATTATACACAAGGAAATTCCCACTATTACTCATGCATCTGGGTTCAAACGTAAACATCGTACGATATCTTATCAGCAGTTGCACCAATTTCCCCCGATAACTTCATTTTCTTTCGGCTCAATGCAAATGAACTCGCGTCACGTATTTTCCTACTACGTTTGTCATTTCTATTGACGTATGCACGTACATTCTCGTTCAGAAGTATCGAGCAGAAGCAAACTTAAATAATCGTTGGGAAATTAAATAAAATTTGAAAAATTATTCTGTCTGGAATCTGTTGATATATCGTAACAAGTGCGTGTTACATAGTTTTATGCAAAGTGACTAACTTCGCTAAATAAAATTTATTAAATTCTTTCTATTTATGAAAAATTTTGATGGAAGCATTTTTTTTTTTATTTTACTTTATCGGCAATCAGAATAAATTCCAATTCTCCTTACCCATGAATTAGGTTTGCTGGCCATTGACGTAGCGTTTGATACTAAAATTGGAAGAATATCAGAAAATGGAGTTGATCAGTTTTCTAAGTTTTCCATATTAATTCTCCATGTTATAACGCGTTCTTCTGCTCGGCCTTCGACAATGATATGTAGCTGTCTGACTGGCGTACGAGCAAGGTTTTGAGGAGCGGGTTAGAGCGAGGATGTTTGACTTGACGCGCCTGGTTCGGGACAGCTGAGATCCGTCCGCCAAGTTTTGAGGAAGAAAACTTGACTTGCGGGGTCAGGATGGCTATTTGGATGGGCCAGATTTGTCGTAGTCAGAGGTAGTGTCTTCGTTGTTTGGGTCAGGATAGCTATGATCCGTCTGCCAAGGGTAGTCGAGTAAAAGGACTGCTTTTGCCAAAAAACTCGCTCTGTTACACCTAAGTTCGCATCCTCGTCCGCCCAATCAACGGCGAGGCAAGAGTTTTACGACTCTTCATACCTGCCTCGCCGCGCGTACATCGTCGAGTCGCACGGAAAAGTACATTTATCGGTTATTTTACAAACTAGGTGCGCTGCAATATTAACTTTGGCGAAGAAACGTAATTTAAATCGTACACAACGGGTGTCCCAATACTTACGAACAGCAGTGTACATTATCAACGCGGAACAACAACACACTCGCGTATCTTTGCCGTATAATTCGCGAAACCTTCGACCTTAACTCCGCGAATTGAAAAGGAAACTAAATTACTTTAAGTGAAAAGATATGTTTCACAAGCCGCTTGAATTATGTCAATATATTCTCCATTTAGGTAGACGAATGTGGCCGACTATGGGTGCTCGACACAGGAATGATCGGCTCTAAACGAGTCTGTCACCCGCAAATCCACATATTTTCTCTAGAGCACAACACACTGATCACCCGGTATCAATTTCCGACGGATCAGTACAAAACTGATTCTCTGTTCGTCACCGTGGTGTTAGATATTCGAGACGGGGTCGACAAATGCAGGAATACGTTCGCCTACATCGCCGACGTCTCAGGATTCGCTTTACTGGTCTACGATTTCGCAAATTCCCGATCGTGGAAGATCGTAAACAACCTGTTCTATCCTTATCCACAATACGGCACGTTTCACATTAAAAATGACACGTTTGACCTTATGGACGGAATCGTGGGACTTGCCTTGGGACCAATTGTAAATGGGGACAGGATTCTGTATTTCCATTCTTTGGCGAGCATAATCGAAGGATATGTGCCTGTCTCTGTAATCAGGTGAGAGTTGTAGTGTTGCTAATGATAGTGTTACGCGATTGTTAAGAATCGTTTGTTATTCGCAGAAGTGTTATTTATACGGAGTTAGGTGAAATATGTATATGTATAGTTAGAGTTGTAGAGTTGTAGAGGTGTAGAATATAGTTGTTTCGTATTGGAATTTTTTTTCTTTCATTTTCTTTTAGGGATTATGAATTGTTCACGAAGAATTCTGAGTCCTCGCCTAGGTCGTTCGTTCCTTTTGAGGAGGAAAGGAACTCGCAGTCTGTTGCCGAGGCTATGGATCGGAACGGAGTACTTTTTTTCGGTTTGTTATCCAATTTAGCGATCGGGTGCTGGAACAGCAAGCATTATCCTGAGTTTGGAGGGAGGAATCTGCTGACACTCGTCGTTGATCCGGAAACATTGCAGTTTCCGTCGGGAATGAAGGTAGAAACGAAAGATGCTTTACTTTGCCTCTGGCTACAACATTTTGGCGACTCTATCTAAGATTGTCTCTATTTGAAATTGACTGTCTCTGTCAGTCTTTGATTCTTGCAACACTTCGACTCTATCTGCAACACTTCGACTCTATTTACAACACTTCGACTCCATCTGTAACACTTTGACTGTATCTGCAACACTTTGATTCTAGCTAAAACATTTCGACTCTATTTACAACACTTCGATTCTATTTACAACACTTCAACTCTATTTACAACACTTTGACAACTCTATCTAACACTGCCTCTATTTACAACTGGATCTATCTGTCACTCTTTGACTCTTACAACACTTCAACTCTATTTACAACACTTCAACTCTATCTACAACACTTTGGCAGCTCTATCTAACACTGCCTCTATCTACAACTGGCTCTATCTGTCATTCTTTGACTCTTACAACACTTCAACTCTATTTACAACACTTCAACTCTATCTACAATACTTTGACAGCTCTATCTAACATTGCCTCCATCTACAACTGCCTCTATCTGTCACACTTCGATTCTTACAACACTTCAACTCTATTTACAACACTTTGACAACTCTATCTAACATTTCCTCTATCTACAACTGCCTCTATCTGTCACACTTCGATTCTTACAACACTTCAACTCTATTTACAACACTTCAACTATATCTAACACTGCCTCTATCCACAACTGGCTCTATCTGTCACTCTTTGACTCTTGCAACACTTCAACTCTATTTACAACACTTCAACTCTATCTACAACACTTTCACAGCTCTATCTAATATTGCCTCTATCTACAGCTGCCTCTATCTGTCACACTTCGATTCTTACAACACTTCAACTCTATTTACAACACTTTGACAACTCTATCTAACATTTCCTCTATCTACAACTGCCTCTATCTGTCACACTTCGATTCTTACAACACTTCAACTCTATTTACAACACTTTGACAACTCTATCTAACATTTCCTCTATCTACAACTGCCTCTATCTGTCACACTTCGATTCTTACAACACTTCGATTCTATTTACAACACTTCAACTCTATTTACAACACTTTGACAACTCCATCTAACACTGCCTCTATCTACAACTGGCTCTATCTGTCACTCTTTGACTCTTACAACACTTCAACTCTATTTACAACACTTCAACTCTATCTACAACACTTTAACAGCTCTATCTAATATTGCCTCTATCTACAGCTGCCTCTATCTGTCACTCTCCGACTCTTACAACACTCCGACTCTATCAACAACACTAAATCTCTCCGCAAGGAAACCTTTTTCTTCGTCCTCGTCCTCTCTCCTTCTACACGCATATTATTTCCGGGTTTTCTATTAAATACGATATAAACGCATCGTGCGTCATCCAGGATTTTCACAAAGAACCTGACTTGTGTCTCTATCGATCAATTCATTTCAGATAACAACATCGAAGAATGGATTGCAGGAGCTCTGGGTCCTCTCGAATTCATTCCAGAAGTACATGACCAATTCTATGCGTACCAACGAAACGAACTTCCGAATTCAAGCAGGTTTCATCGACCAATTGGTCCACGGAACGATATGCGACGCGACCGCTTATCAAGGAGATTCGAATCAGGCAAAATGAGAATCGTGGCATCACGAGCAGTCCATCAATTATAATCACCAGAAGATTGGATCGTCGAGATGGCACTCGATATTCACCATCAAACCAGTCTTAGCGAACAATCGTTTCACTTCCTTCTATTCTCACAACTATTTCCAAAATTATTACCACCACTCTAGTTATCTAAGGAATTCGCCTGCAATTCGTTCCACGCATACTTGGTCCAGAAACGACAGATTTCGTTATTAATCAACATTGTTCGCTTCTCGCAAGACGAAACAGCAAAATGAAATTTGCCAACTTTGATGAAATATTTTCATTCAAAGTGCGTTTTCATTTTTGCTCGTGATGCTGAACATATTCTTCTCTTACTTTTCACAGCTATATTTTAAGGTAGCATAACATCTACAAAACGCCGCGTAATACAGTTCTTTCTTCTCTGTTCGACTGTTATTTATTACTTCGTGCGTGCAAGCATCGATTCTTCGGTCTTATTTATTTGTAAGTTTCTGCTTTACTTTTCGCGGTGGAACTTGGTCGGTTCTCGAAGAACGTAATTAGCCGTTTCGTGGCTAATTATTCGCAGACTTCGATTTTGCTCGCAGATGTAGCGCGAAATTGTCTCACCTGAAATGTAAAACGAGCGGAATAATTTGAGGAAATTGCAAACAAAAGACGGAGGTTACCTTAGGAGACGCATATCTTAGGTAAATACAAGTCTCGCTTAATAGTATACTTTCGAGCGCAAATCGTTCGTTATCTTTCGAAAGCATTTCAATAATTTTCATGTTCGTTTTTATGCGGTAATATGAAAATGACGTAACGATGTGAGAAAACATCGTGCGGCCTCTCTTAACAAATGTACACGAAATAAAAGAGGAATTTTATTAAGAAAAACCCGAGGTCCTTCGTTTTCATTCTTGCCCCAGTTTGAACATTTTTATCTCGTTAATTTATTGCAACAAACACGAAGCTCCAATTGCGTACCTTGTGTACAATACGGGGTGAGTCACGAGAAGCAGAGCGCCTGAATAACTTTGTTGGATTTAAAGATATGAAATATGGGTAATATTTAAAGATATGAAAAATTCAACGTGTAAGGTTCATCTGCTAAACGTTCAAAATCCATTTTTCTGGGTTGACTTCTCCATTTGAAGGTCGTATTGCGTCGCACGATTGAACTACCTAACTAACTATCTATCTAACTATAAAGAAAAAACGTCAGTGACCTTGAAAATACCGAAGAAAATGGCATGAAAATGGATGATACAGCGGATTCCGGTTAACACGTTAAGCGCGGCGTCAGTCCGTGGTGACTGACAGTGAACTTTCCGTTTAGGCGGCGTCGGTCCGTGGGGTCTGACAGTGAACTTTTGGAACCGTGGGACCGGCAGTATCATGTTTAAGAAGTAAATGTTATGCACTTCTCCTTCTTTTTTTTTTTGCAATTTATGAACACTTCTTCTATCAATCCGGATTGGTATTTCTTCGTCTGAATGCCGTGTGCGCGCATTTGTTATCTTCTGTTTATACTCGATAACCGAACAGCTCGCGAAATGATCGCCGCAGTGTGCCGCCTGAACGGGAAGCAGAGCGAATCCGGCTCCGCGCTCAACGTGTTAATTGGGACGTCGCACAATGGTCCAAATGGTTGACTTAGCTGGCGAAAACTCGGTTTGAGAAATTTCATCCAAGCGAAAAAATTTTTATCACACGATGTAAGGTAAAGGTACCAGTAGTTGACCAGTTAAGAGAAATCCTCCACGCGAACCATAGTAACCACTTGCTCTGTCATTAAACAGCGAGAGTCGATGCCTGAAGATACTCTAGAGCCTTCTAGATTATGTAACAGGACCAATTTTTAAAAAAGTTACGTTATAAAAATTTTAAAAACATATTTAAAAATTCAGTAACTGCTTCAGAAGTTGACCACTCTTAAAAATGAAAACACTAGTAATTGACCCTCTGTTCGTTAGTAGTTGACCACTTATACTCTTCAGTTACGAAGAGTTCACAACGTATGGATTTGTTTCCCTGAACCGTACAGCTGTTCTTAACAGAAACGTTAAGGAAATAGCAATATAGAGGCATATTGCTCACCTTAATGAATTTAGACGTCTGTTGTTACTACGCATACTGTTTGACCAACAGGGGTTTATGGCACGGATTCCAAGCGACGTTACTTTTGAGAAGTTTTTCCACAAGTTTTTCGATAACAATAGCCTATTCAAGCCAGAGGGCAAATCCGGCTTATTGCCTGATGGCCGCGGAAATTCTCCACTTCTGCGGGCCACATGGTAAGCCGGTACTTGCCTCTGCGCGCTCAGTAACGGTAGACATGCCACAAACCCGTAAAGTCGACGTTTCGGCAAGATCGCCACGCGGGACTGACACCCCTGTTTGGGACCGTCTCTCCCTCTCTGCCGCCGCCCTACTCTGCGGACCACGGGGGACTGCACGAGGGCCTGGGAGAGCGGCTCTAGGGGGTGAAAGGCCCACGATTTGTCAACTAGGTAAACTCCCCATTTTGGCGAAAAGGGATATATACAGACACTGCACGACATACGGGCAGATTCTAATATACTTAGAAACAGTCGACACCACTTTGAGCGCTCTAACACGCGATACTCGACATCTTGACAACACCAGTACGGTCCAGTCCGCAATAATCGACATCACTAATAAAGCGCGATCATCATAGCGACAATAAGTAGTTGGCACATACACGTGCAATAATTACCAACGCCAACCCGACCTTCCAACCAACAAGAAGCGCGGGAAGCTGCGTTAACACATACTTCACGTCACACTCTTTGAAATTTAACCGATACATGTCTTGGCATGTCAGGTGCATTCTTTTCAAAAGAGTGTCACTTATAAAAACCTTATTTCTTACGTTTCTCTAAAAACTGGTCAACTACTGGTACATGGTCACCTACTGATACCTTTACCTTAGGTAAATATGCGAGGAACGATGCACTGACTTTCTTCTTACCATTCGTTCACCCATGATGTGCTGTGCTTTGCAAAGTTTAGTCATTTTTGTGGTACCCGCCAGGCGTACCTTGAAATCTCCTGAAACACTTTTTATGCTGTACAGAAGGTGCGTCCTTTTTCTTTCACTATGAAAGTCTTTCTGGTAAGTACTCTACCGGCCGAAAATTTGGAATCGCTAATGTGTGTAGGCGCTGCTAATTTTTTATAGATTTGAAGTTCATCTGAATTGTACATTTATCGATTGATTCGAACGATAAAGAATTCTCAAAGTCGCTGACTGCTTTCTGCAAATTTTTGTGGAAATTGCAATGCTCGGTGATTCCACACTTTCGTTTGTTGCCAGAGCATTTTTTGACTTGGTCGTCATCGCGATCGAAGACGTCGCGATAAAGGATGCTCCAGCAGCAAATGGCCCAAACTGTCCCAATTGATCCACTGTGTTGCGATGGCGATGTGCATCCTTCGAATTATTCGAATTCTGACGTACCCATGTTTCGTATCTTTAAATCCAACAAAGATATTCAGGTGTTCTGCTTCTCGTGCCTCGCCCTGTATATACAGTTCTTATTTGGAGTGCCTTTTGTTAACATGACATAAATCCTATTCAAAATTGCGATTAATAAATGCATATGTTTCATATATATACTTCTGCTTCTGCAGGTGGCAGACACAGTTGTTCGGATACCGACGTGTGGCACAGGTGTGCGTTAAAAAAGAAGTTTCAGAAATTCATTTATATCGTCCATTTTATTTCTCGGGAATTTCGCTCGTGCCGGGATCAGGTCTCAAGAGTGAGTACAATTTTTTGTTAATTCTTGAATTCGTTAGGTGGAGACATTTGCGTAAAAAAATTATCGAACCTCTTACGAAAATATTAAACTGTAGTCTTCTTCCAGAAATGTATCTCTCGCGAAAATATTTAAAAAAATATTGAACCTCTTGCAGAAATATGGAAGAAGGAGTCTTCTTATCAAAATGTACCTCTCATGAAAATATTAAATTTTCTGCATAGATGTGAAAGTGTAGTCTCCTTACAAAAATGCTCCTCTTACAATTGTATTAAATCTCTTGGAAAGATATGAAGAAAGTAGTGTCCTTAGAGGAATATACCTTTTACAAAAATATTAAATTTCTTGCAAAGATGTGAAAATGTAGTCTTCTTACAAAAATGTACCTCTTACAGATGTATTAAGTCTTTTACAAAAATATCAAAATGTAGTTTCCTTAGAATTATATAAAAGAAAATATTGAATCTCTTGCTAAAATATGGAGAAAGAAGCCTTCTTATCAAAATGTACCTCTCATGTAAATATTAAATTTCCTGCATAGATGTGAAAGTGTAGACTCCTTACAAAAATGCTCCTCTTACAATTGTATTAAATCTCTTGGAAATATATGAAGAAAGTAGTGTCCTTAGAGGAATATACCTTTTACAAAAATAGTAAATTTCTTGCAAAGATGTGAAAATGTAGTCTCCTTACAGAAATGCACCTCTTAGAATTATATTAAAGAAAATATTGAACCTCTTGCTAAAATATGAAAACAGTAGTCTTCCCCCAAAAATGTACCTTTCACAAAAATATGAAAAAGATATTAAACCTCTTGGAAAAGTATGAAAAAGTAGTCTCCTTGCAAAAATGCACCTCTCACAATTATATTAAAGAAAATATTGAACCTCTTGCAAAAATATGGAAAAAGGAGTCTCCTTGCAAAAATGCACCTCTCACAATTATATTAAAGAAAATATTGAACCTCTTGCAAAAATATGAAAAAGGTAGCCTTCTTCCAAAAATGTACCTCTTACAGAAATCTAAAAAATAAAATATTAAACCTCTTGCAAAAATATCAAAAAGGTAGTGTCCTTCCAAAAATCTACCTCTCACAGAAACATAAAAAGGTAGTTTTCCACAAAAATGTCGCTCTCACGAAGATACTAAGAAAAGTATGAAACCTCCTACAGAAATAATAGAAAGAAAGAAAAAATTCTCTTACAAAATTACATCAAGGAAATATGAAAAAGTAGTCCTCTCTTATCTCACCGAAGAATTTCCTTATAGCGCGTCTATGGTTCCAAAGGAACTGTGTCGATCGTGACGTCCGAAGAAGTTTCCTGATTTTTATCTTGTTATCGCATTATCATTAACCACATACCTACCCGACACATTTAACAACCTACAAATATCTCTGTACGGAAAAAAAAATGCACAATTGTCACATATACGACTTTCCTCGTAGACACTTTTGTCTTATCTCTCGAAAAGCACAGAAGGTCATAGTTGCTTATATTTAGTGCCTGGGCACCGGTCACAATTGAACATTCACCCGTAGGTACGTATCTCTCTGTCAGAAATTCGTCGTTCACGTATTGCACTTCATTTTCGAAGCAATTGTCTCCTCGTTTATTGCAACAATAAGAAAGATACAATATATCAGGTGTTCGCGTACGTGTACGTTTACCTGTCCTCTTTTTTCATCTGTTTGACGGGTTAAATATCTCTTTTTAGAATCATGTTGACCTGGTGCACGTTGTTACTGTGCCTCAGCGTAGCTTCCCAAGACGTTACTGCAGGCAGAACTCGTTTCAGAAATGTGAGAAGAGGATTGAAAGTGATTCACGAATGGAATTATATAGATTATGAGTTTGCTAGTGAGCAACAAAGGGCAGACGCGATTCAAACTGGCGAATACGTTCCTACGAGCTGTTCTCCCATTGATGTGGATACTTGGAACCAAGGTAGAACATCGAAATTTACTCGTCGATTTGAGCATTCGACAGTTAGATTTCTTTTGAATATTAGTTGCGATTTTTAAGTTTTGAGATTTTGAGATTTTGAGAGCTTTAGGTCTTTAAATTCTTTAGATCTTTAGATCTTTAGATTTTGAGATCTTTAGATCTGTAGTTTTGAGATTTTGAGATCTTTAGGTCTGTATATTCTTTAGATCCTTAGATCTTTAGATCTTTAGATCTTTAGATTTTGAGATCTTTAGACCTTTGGATCTTTAGATTTTTAGATTTTGAAATTTTGAGATTTTGAGATCTATAGATTTTGAGATCTTTAGATCTTTAGATCTTTATATTCTTTAGGTCTTTAGACCTTTAGATCTATAGATTTTGAGATCTTTAGATCTTTGGATCTTTAGATCTTTAGATTTTGAAATTTTGAGATTTTGAGATCTATAGATTTTGAGATCTTTAGATCTTTAGATCTTTATATTCTTTAGGTCTTTAGACCTTTAGATCTATAGATTTTGAGATCTTTAGATCTTTGGATCTTTAGATCTTTAGATTTTGAAATTTTGAGATTTTGAGATCTATAGATTTTGAGATCTTTAGATCTTTAGATCTTTATATTCTTTAGGTCTTTAGACCTTTAGATCTATAGATTTTGAGATCTTTAGATCTTTATATTCTTTAGGTCTTTAGATCTTTAGATTTCACAATTTCTAGATCTTTAGATGTTTAGATTTGTAGATTTTTATATTTCCCGATTTTTCTTTACAGAAACATTCGTCACTGTAATAAGAAGCGCAGGTGTACCATCCAGCTTGAACACTATATCTACTGAAAGTGGCGCCGGTGGTCCTCTACTGAAGCCTTATCCCGATTGGAGTTGGACAAACACCAGCAATTGCGACGGTATCACCAGTGTCTACAGAGTCGCGGTATTTTATTTTTTATTCTCCTGAAAATTACACCTACTAAAAAATCTCATCTTCTTTAATAAAAATTTTCGAATATGTGTTATTTAGATCGACGAATGTGACAGATTATGGGTAATAGATAATGGTGTGGTCGGTGAAACACGAACATGTCCTGCTCAGCTTCTTGCTTTCGATCTGAACACCTCAGAATTATTGATAAGAGAAAAGATACCGAATAATATTGCGATAAATTCCACTTCTGGACAGGGATTATTGATCACGCCGATTGTTCAGACTTTCGGACCTAACTGTAGACATACTACCGTAAGTATACTTACCTGTCAAGGTAAAAGAAAATTTTAACACGTTCGTTATCGTGATTCCGTTGAAATATCGTCCGATTGCAAAATGATTCAATCGAAAATCTGAAAATTTTGAAATAAAAAATTTTTTAATCTAAAGATCTAAAAATCTAAAGAATATAAAGACCTAAAGATCTAAAGATCGAATCTAATATTCGAAAGAAATCTAAGCATCGAATATTTTTCATGTATACGTAGCGCTTGACAGTGAATTTGATTTTGGTTTGCAACAGGTATACATAGCAGACGTAGAAGGTTACGCTTTGCTCGTGTACGATGGTCAATCTTGGCAACGTTTGACGTCCAGTTCTCTCGACTACGATCCAAATGCTACGATGTACACAATCGAGGGACAAAGTTTCTCGTTGCAGGATGGTCCTGTGGGTATGGCCTTGTCTAAATCGTCAGGCAATCTTTACTTCAGTCCTATGTCTTCTTACAATTTGGATTTCGTTAACACTCGGGAAATTGCTATGAGTCAAGGCGGCAATGTGATGTTTGCGAGGTGAGTTTGAGAAGAAGTAAAATATAAGGTGAAATTACGAGAAGAAATAAAGTATAAGACGAAATAGTGGGGAAAAATAAAGTGTGAGATTAAATAATCAGAAGAAATAAAATATGGGAGGAAATAAAGTGGAAAATTAAACAATGAGAAGAAATAATGTATGAAATTAAATAACGAGAAGAAATAAAGTATGAAACGAACTCACGAGAAGAAATAAAATATAAGCCGAAATTACGCAAAGGAAAGATCCATCGAAGCTACAAAATATCTTCTGAATTATTTGATTTCAGTTACAACGACGTGTTAACCACTCAAGCCAGCGCTAAAGCTATGTCCAGAAACGGCGCTCTCTTCTACGGCCTGGTGAACGATACCTCGATCGGTTGCTGGAACGAAAACAAGCCACTAACTAGAGAAAACCTTGTCAGTAATCACTCGCACAATTTTTCCACTTTTCCGTTATATCTCTTTCTCAAAAATAAACTCTTCTTTTTCTCGAACTTTTCTTACCACAGGATGTGGTCGCCAGAAATCCCACGACTCTTCAGTTCACCAGTGGAATGAAGATTAAAGAAGGCGTATACGGCGAGAAGCTGTACTTGTTCACTAACAGATACCAGAAGTTAGCAACGGGAACCTTGAATGTTACCGAAGTGAACTTCCGAATTTTGGTAGGAAATGTGGATGGATTACTGGAGAATACTCGTTGTCAACCGCCTGGACACTTTTCCTTTTGGAAATATATTCTAAAACTCTGATTTATGTGACATAAATGTTACCATTTAGTATCGTAGAGTACGAATAATTCAAACTTATTTCATGTTACGGAAACAGGGAATAAGATAATTTCAAGTTGAACATTCTATAACTCTGTTTTCGAAAAGTTATGCTTATAAATGATCAGTGAAAAGTAACTTTGGAAATATTCATTTTTTCACCCAAAAATCTCCAATTCCGTTATCCTATTTTCGAAGAATTATGCTTATAGATCATCAGTGAAAAGTGACTCTGAAGATATTAATACTTCGAACCATATTCAGTAGAAATTTTTGCTTTACCTCGATGAGTACTCTATGCTCCCGAGAAACCCCAACTTTTTTTCTCACGCTGTAAGTAGAGTAATTAGAGCGATCGAAAGATCATTTCCTTCGCCATTCACAATAAGCAATAAACACTCGCGCACATCTGTAAACTTCACCTTTCACCGCCATCTTCCACTTCCGAGCTCTAGCAAAACCACTTCGAACCAACGAAAATCTAAATTAATACCTCGAAAAATCACATAAATAATTCACATAAATCTTCAATCTACCAAGAATAGATCGTCTCGACAAAATCGTACGATATTAAAACCCATTACATCCGACGCCATAATAAAAACTACAAATCATCGACGCTCCATTTTTTCCACTTCACCCAACGATACATCGATTCACCTTTTAATTTAAACGCTCGCGTAACACCATCGAACGAGAAACTCTTCTTCGACGAGTTCGAGAACCTATAGAGGGGTTATTTGTAGGGATGGAGAAATATGTTGAGAATGTACAATGACGTTTTGTTTGCGCGGAGCCTTTGTTCCCGTGTGAGTTGAGGTTGCAAATTGACCGAGGTGTGGGACAGTAGCAGGAAAAGAACTTTTATATCGTTGAACGGTGATTTTTAAGTAGCACGATACTTTTATTGCACTGTTCATCTTTGAAACTTGAATGCACACATTGTTGCAGTCTCTATTCTCGAATGCAACACCGACGGAAGCACTATTTCGTGTGCAAAACATTGTTGCACGCGTTACTTTTGAATGCAACATTGCTCGAAGCGTTATATTTGAACGCAAACATTGTTGGAATCTCTATTTCAGATTGCAACATTATTAGAAGCGTTATTTCGAACGCAAACATTATTACAAGCACCACGCTTGAATGTAACATCGTTGCAGCGTCATTCTCGCTTGTGACATCGTTCACTCGTATTATTTTCGAAAAAGCACATTGTTGCAAAACGCGCGTCGCGTTTGCAACTTTGTTGCCGCGAACCACTCTCGAAAATTGCACATTGTTGCGCGACGCGCCAGCTTTGCAACATTGTGCATTTTTCGGGAGCGATTCACGGCAACAAAGTTGCGAGCGCGATTTCTCATTTTGCAACATTGTGTCGCGCGCGCGATTCGCGAAGTATGTGGATTACGTTTACGTATTTACTTATTACTTATTATCATTTATTAGGTAAGCAAATATGCTCGAAATTATATCGTGTTTGGTATCATTTTAATCAGCAAAATGTGGCAAATATGTTGGTAAATATTTTATTCGATGACAAATCAGAAATAAGCAAGTTTGATTTTTGTGTTAAAGGTCTCAGCTTGTTCGTTTGTCCTCAACAAACTTTAATACAGAATAAAATTATGCATTGCGGCTGTAAACTTACTGAAAGGTGGGCGGGAAGTAATCCGACAAGAGAACGATTTTTAACGCATAGAGTGTCGCTAGATTAGAGAAATAAATAAAATTTGAGGAATTAGAAAACGGTATGGTTGAAAATCAGGATTGCCCTTCGAATTCTTTATGTGGTCGGTCGTGAGAAACATTCTTTCAACGATAGCAGCAATAAGACCAAAAAGAGAACAATACGCAAGTAAATAGAGAATTGATTATACCACCGGGTATATGAAAGTGTCACGCCTGGAACAGTGGACGGAGAGCGTAACAGAGGTTAAGACGGAGAAAAACGTAGACGGTCAAGTGGGGGGTTTGGACGTTCTAGCCCTGCCTTAGGCACGTCCCATGCGCGAAGCGAGGTTACTCTTATGTTGAACGATGTATAGACATTGTGCAATCTTCGTCGTAACAGTTCCCTTTGACAAAAAAAGCAAAGGAAAGAAAAGCGAGTTTAGAGTGTCGAAACTGTTCCAGTTCGTTAGAACGGACATAGCTTTTATGCAAATTATCAAGCACAGTGTGTCACTAAACGGGGACAAACGAAAATGGAGATTATAGCTGGCGATTATGTGAGTGGTCGAGTCGTGAGGATTATGATAGCGAGCTGTATATATAAGTGTCAGGTTCTCTAACTCGATTAGTATATGCTTACACGATTTGTGTATCGAGCGGTAATTTTTGTGAATTATCGTAAAGTGATTTTTTTAGGCTTTTCATTGTTTATGGTTGAGTTCAATCGGTGGATTTTCCACTTTCAATATTGCAACGAAGTGAAAAATAAAGGAGGTAAAGTGAAATCTTATGGATGTTTCGTATGGACGAGTTTGATCCGACGATTGTACACGATGTACAAATTATAAATATACACTGTTTTATAAGTGATTTGAATTATATTTTGAAATTCGCTTAATGCTGAATGCTTTAGTATAGAAAATTTATTCACTCTCGATACATTTCCATTTATTGCTAAAATTCTCTATTCTTAGAATACCACAGTTACAAGAAAAATACGTTTTCTGGTACACTTACCCAAAAAATGTGAATTTACAAAAATTTGCAAAGGAAGTGAAAGGAAAAAAAAAAGGAAAATTTAATTACTCCCTTTTCCTTAGAACTTAAAAATGAAGGTATGAATTAACCAGTGACAATACTAAGCCCACACTGTATCGGTAAAAAAAATGTATACTCTCCTTACGCAGAGTGTCCCGTAACATAACCTCAAAATTTTCGAATAACTTCTAAAAAGAGTAAAAGAGCGCCAATCTTGTTATTGCACTAATTACTGAAACTTGAGAGTCCCTAACAAAGCTTGAAACCAATTTCTTGTTCACCATAGATTACAAGATTCCAAAGAAAATATTTCTTCTTCAGTTCTCAATCATTTTTTAACGATTACTCAGATTTATTTCACATTCAACAACCTGTCCTTTCACACTTCTGAACGAGAGTGTACGTTAAGAACGAGAACGGAATAAACTGAGTATGGAACAGAAAAAATAGTTACGCGTTGCATGTTCCATGAGGTAACTGGCCAGAAACTAGGCGTAAACTGATTATTAACGATCAAATATCGCGGCAGATGCAAAGATAAACTTTTACGTAAAAAGGTAACGATCGAAGAAACAAAGCAGTGGATATAAACGAACCGCTGCTTTCTGCTTTCTCGATTCAATTTCTGCCCGGTCATCGGTTCCTCGGTGTCAGTCCAACAGATTAAGCAATGGCGGACAATTCTGTGCGTACGTCCTTCACTAAACACTGAACAGTCCTTTAAAAACCAAAATCTATACAAAAATACTAAAAAAATAACGACAATCTTAACAGTGAAATAAATAAAACAATCGTTTTTCTTAAGTTTCTCTATAAATGCAATAATTCTACGATAAAAGACTTAAGTAGCTTCGTGTTAAACACGGAAGTGGAAAGGAAGAATCGATAATTTCCTCGTGAAAAAAATCGAGGAGAATTGTGGAGAAAGTTGGGCTATTTTGCGTTCAGCTGGGTTTACGACTGCGAGGGTTGAACGGAAGTAAGTAAGATGAATTAGGTACGAGTTCTTCTTCGTTTATGAAGGTATACGAAACTGTGGCTTGGTCTGCGGAGGTATTCGCAGGATAGTATCGAATCGGTGAGAAGGAAGTGACTTAGCGAAACCGAAAGTGTTCTCCTGTGGAAAGCGACGTTCGTGCTAACTTGAAGCGGTCTCGCGTCATTTGCCGAGCGGACCAGTGGAACGAAGCAGATACGGTTTTCAGGTAATGTGGACCATTTCGTTTCTATGGATTTTCTGTCGGTTCGATGACCATGAGCTTGACTTTTCCGCAGTTGGAACGAATTGTTGATAATTTTCTGTAATGCTCGGTTTATTTTTTTGTTTAGTTGTGGGTGTAGCTTTTGTTACGTTAGGTTTCACTGAAAGCAGGATTGTTTTCGAATTTTTTATTATTTTAAATTTTTATTACCGACATTGTGGTTATTTTGAAATTTAATTGCCGACAATTTTCTGTAATATTCATTTATTTGTGGGTATGACATTTATTACGTTAGGTTTCACTGTAGGTCAGTTCAATTTTGAAGGGATATTGGAAAAAGCAGGATTGTTTTCGAATTTTTTATTATTTCAAAATTAATACCGTTAATTATTATAAAATTTGTAAGCGTGGTCACCGCTGAAACGTAATTTAAATGTAACGCACCGTCTTCAAATTTCGAAATTTGCGATATCTAACGTGAGAATTATAATTGTGGAATTAATGTAAAATTTAATTGTCGATAATTTCCTATGATATTCATTTATCTTCGGGTACAGTATTTATTGTATTACGTTTCACTATGCGTAAGTTCAATTTTGACAAAATATTAAAGAAAGCACTACTGTTTCCGAATTTCTTTATTATTATAAATAGATATTATAAAGTTTAATTTTTCATCACATTTCACTTTCAATTTCGAAAGAATATAAAGAAAGCAGGACTGCCGTTCGAATTTTCATTTGTTATATCGCTATTGTATAACAGTATCACTTGGATGGCCGAAAAAGGACACCATTGTGCAACTGTGCCCGAGGCCCAGGCGTGTTTAGGCTTCAAGATGGCTGTTTAGCTTTAAGAAACTCGAGTGTGCGTACGTGTGAATGCGAAGGGCGAAAGTACGCAGTTTTCCTTGGGAAAATCAGTCCCAAAGGAACAGTTCGAGAGGAAACTGACCCGCGAGGTGCGGTCAAAGTGTGTCCCGAGTGTGTGCGAGTATTGGGCCATCCCATAGGTTCGTACCAAACGCGAAAACTATTGCAATGAAAATCGAAGGAAATTCTACAGCGACGACATAGCGATCTCACCAAAAAAAGAGTAGAAAAAAAATTGAAGACCGAGAATGTGCTTGAAGGTTCCTTGGAAACGTTGATCTAAATCGTGAAATTCTAACTAACTCTGACTAACTCTGTCAAATTGAATTTATTAAGTTTTTTCTTATTTACGAAAAGCTAAATATGTGCTTCGATACTAAAATGAAAGAATTTCGAAAAGGGGAGTTAACCATTCTGGCTTCCAAGTGTCTCCTACGTCTACAATCTCTCTTCCCTAATTTTCTTAAAGTGTCGATTCTCCAATCAACCACCAAATCCATTACTAAATTATTTTCCCTCTTCTTCTCCTCTCTTAAGTTCTATTTTCCATTTCTAATCGCGCATTAAAGCCAGTAGAAAGCAGAATTCAGGAGGAAGAAAGCAAAAGAGAAGACATTAATAGTAAAAACTTGGAACAGCAGTTACGTTTCTCTGAACACTTTTTTCAAAGTTGAACATATGCATTGTGAAATTAGCGAAATAAAGCGAAGAGGGCACGTGCGTGGAAGACAGGGGAAAGTGTGATTAATAGTTTTTTTTTAATTTAGATACGTGAGTTTCCATTTTTCACCGTTTCCGTACTGATGCACGCAAGTATATGATCGGTAGGCTGGGCTTCCAGACGTATCATTGCCAAATGAATTACAAAACAGCCTCGATACTATTGGAAATTGCTCAAGAATTTTTAGAAATTTCGCAGTACACCGTGTCAGTTAACGTTGCAACGAATACACTTAAAATTGACGCAATTTGACAATCTGCTTCGTTTCTTTTAACGATAGAACAATGTGTTTTATGATTTCTGGGATGTTTGAGTATACTGTGTGCAGCACTTTGAAATTGAAATACTTAATCGTAATACGAATGCTACAGCGTACACTTGGGCGAAGGTGTTAGGTTTGGAAATGTATTCTTTGCGAATTTTGGGGACAATCAATGTTTTATTTAAAAGGAATGAAAGCAAATCGATAGTCAAAATAATATCCATTGTTAACGATGATCTTAATTTTGCCTTCTCTTGCCATCTTTTGCCATTTTTTCTCATTTTTCTCCATTTCTTGCCATTTTTTGCCATTTTTTGCTATCTTTTGCCATTTTTTCTCATTTCTCCCCATTTTTTGCCATCTTTTGCCATTTTTTCTCATTTTTCCCCATTTCTTGCCATTTTTTGCCATCTTTTGCCATCTTTTGCTATCTTTTACCATTTTTTGCTATCTTTTACCATTTTTTGCCATCTTTTGCCATTTTTTCTCATTCTTCCCCATTTTTTGCCATTTTTTGCCATCTTTTGCTATCTTTTACCATTTTTTCCCATCTTTTGCTATCTTTTACTACCTTCTGCCATCTTTTGCCATTTTTTGCTATCTTTTACCATTTTTTGCCATTCTTTCCCATTCTTCCCATTTTTCCGATATCTTCCAAACACCATCGCGACAAAACCTGAGCGACTCTACCTCAATTACACGCACCCAATCGAAAGGAATCAACCTCCACACCTAACAATCAAAAACAAAAAATCTAAAATCCGTCACTCCAACAAATTCGCTCGTTCCATTGCTAATTAAACAGACAATACGCGTAACTACCGCGAAACTTCCATTCGAGTTCACAGTAAACGTCTCTAACACGAGTGAATAGAAGAACCGTGCATTCCATTCGCTCTTCGAAACTGTCAAGCGAAGGATAAACATTTTCCCTCGGAATTTCGAAAGAACCTCCGCCGTGTTGCAACGATCGACGGAAGAAGAAAGCCTAGAAACTGAAAGCATTGAAAAATAAATGATATTCGAATCGAAGCGAATAAAATTCCTCTATTCTACACCGCGTCTCTTCGAACACAGATAAATATCACAGATGGGCAGCGGCGATCGTTACGAAATTCCGCCTTGAATGGCAGTATGCCGCGATTACGTTGCTATCCGCGTTTTTTCCTTTTTTTTTTTCCACCACACTTTCTTGAACTCGCCTCTTAATTGAGACGTACCTACAAGACTGTTCGCCTCTGTTTCGTTCCAGCAGAGATGTCATGATGAGGAGAAGGAGAAGTATCGACACGGAGACCGGAAGCTGGCAGAAGAATTCGTGGCCGTCGTCGATCTCGGTCCCGAAACAGTCGAACAGCTTCGTTTACTCGTCGCCCAGCCATTCTTTCGGTTACGATTGGGACAATTCCGTGGTGAAGTATGGGCATGACGATTTGGGACAGAAGCTCGGGAAGGAGCATGGTTCGTCTGGTGCGGGTAGGTTTTGAAATTGTTTTATCGCGCCGGAAAATTTCGCAAGAGTGAAATATGCGCTTATGTACACATGTCGCGTGAGAGTATATTTGGATGGAGTAAATAGCGGCGATTGCGGTGGAGCTGTGAGAGAAGAGAAATTGTCGAGAAGATGAGATAGGGACATTTGGTAGAAGGTGGATAGAGAAATGTAAGGATTTGATTATTTATTTATTCATTTTTTACCGTGGGTGTGGATTCGCTTGTGTGGAAGATAAGGTAGGCGGAGGGTAGATGAAATATTGGTAGTTGCAAGTGAGAAGAAGAAAAATTCAATTGAATCAGAATTGGCTAGTTTATTTGATAGGAAAAAGATATCGATAGTCGTTAATGGAAGGAAGACAGAAAAGAAGAAAAATTGAATTTAATCAGAATTGATTAATTCATTTGGTAGTAAATGGTATTGATGGTTATAAATGGAAAGAAGAGGAAAGGAAGAGAAATTGAATTGAATCAGGTAGAAAAAGAAGAATTGAATAGAGTCAGTTGTAAAAAAAGAAGAATTGAATAGAGTCAGTTGTAAAAAAAGAAGAATTGAATAGAATCAGGTGTAGGAAAACAAAAATTGAATAGAATCAGTTGTAATGAAAGAAGAATTGAATAGAATCAGGTGTGTAAAAAGACGAATTGAATGGAATCAGGTGTAGGAAAACAAAAATTGAATAGAATCAGGTGTGTAAAAAGAAGAATTGAATGGAATCAGGTATAGGAAAACAAAAATTGAATAGAATCAGGTGTGTAAAAAGACGAATTGAATGGAATCAGGTGTAGGAAAACAAAAATTGAATAGAATCAGGTGTGTAAAAAAAGACAAATTTAATAGAATCAACTGTAAAAGGAAAAATTGAATAGAATCATTTGTACAAAAAGAAAAATTTAACAGAATCAGTTGTAAAAAAAGAAGAATTGAATAGACTCAGTTGTGAAAAAAAAGAAGAATTGAATAGAATCAGTTGTGTAAAAGGAAGAATTGAATAGAATCAGGTGTAGAAAAACAAAAATTAAACAGAATCAGTTGTAAAAGAAGAAGAATTGAATAGAGTCAGTTGTAAAAAAAAAGAAGAATTGAATATAATCAGGTGTGTAAAAGGAAGAATTGAATAGAATCAGGTGTAGGAAAACAAAAATTGAATAGAATCAGGTGTGTAAAAGGAAGAATTGAATAGAATCAGGTGTGTAAAAAGACGAATTGAATGGAATCAGGTGTGTAAAAAGACGAATTGAATGGAATCAGGTGTAGGAAAACAAAAATTGAATAGAATCAGGTGTGTAAAAAAAGACAAATTTAATAGAATCAACTGTAAAAGGAAAAATTGAATAGAATCATTTGTACAAAAAGAAAAATTTAACAGAATCAGTTGTAAAAAAACAAAAATTGAATAGAATCAGGTAAAAAAGGAAAAATGAATAGATTAACAGAATCAGTTGCAAAAAGAAAAATTGAAAGAATCAATTCTAAAAAAGGAGAAATTAAGTAAAACCATAAGGCTAGCCAGCAATACTGACGCAGATGCAAATGAGGCAAACAATGGCGAAGTCTTAATATTCATAAACCGGTGAAAGTTAAATAGAGAAAAACACAGTAATGGAATATGAAATTAATCGAACGCGAGCTTCCTTCAACGTTACGCCGTGCGATGCTAAAATTTCCAAATAAAATTGTCCAACTAACGTCGAAACCCGCTAAAAGAATGCAAGAGCAACGTCAAGCTGGACTGCATACCATAATGTCGTAAAATTAAAACGAGTTTCGGTCCGGCAAAAACAATGGACAAGCGGTCGGTGTGTCCTCGTAAAAATAGTCTTACGACGTAAGGCAAATTACTTTCCGGAAAAACGCAGTGTACACGCGCGATTGTTCGAAAGTTTTCTTTTGCCGCCGCGCCGTTCGAACGGGGTAAAAGAAGTATGTATCGCAATTCAGAATTGCGCAACACGGATTTCCTCGCTTTCGCGTGTCGACCACGTGTGTTAGGCGAACGTGGACGAAACTCTATCAAGTTCAACGGAATTATCCGCTTGAGGGGGTTACATTCTCTTGGAAGGCTTGAAATAGGTTTATCTATGTTTGCGAATTTTTTTCGTAGTGAAAGTTGTATTTTTCAGCGAATAATTGAAGCGTAGGGGAAAATGGTGTTTCGTGCCTTCGAGCCTGCTGTTGCGAATGAGAATAATGGAAATTATCGGAAGTTGATAGGAGTTTAACACGTTAAGCGCAAAGCCTGTTTTGTCTTCCTTTCCGTTTAGCCCGCGATATCCGATTTCACCGATATGCTGGCGGCTGGAGGCCTGTGTAAGGTTGCGATAAGACTGCATGATTTTAATAATCTCGTTAAAATTTCTTTTCGGTAACAAGTAACATTTAGGTACATTCTTTTGTGATCTCGAAATTATTTAAAATTTATCAATAGAAGAATATAATTTGTTAAATTGTATATCGTCAGTCAGCAGTGACTCACGCGGCCTAAACGAAAAGTATAGTGTCAGTCACCGGGGACTGACGCGGTCCCAACGGAATGTACAGTGTCAGCCACCGGCGACTGACATGGAGCTTAACGTGTTAAGTTCTTTTTCGTGATTTTCAAATGTTTCGTCTATTTTTGTAGAAAATATCGACATGTTTGAGGTTTCCTTTTTGTGTAGAAAATCGTATTACAGTGAACTGAAGAGTGCAGAGGAAAGAACGGAGCTTCGTACTTCTCCACCTGTATTCTACAATTGTTATTAACATTTGATCACGGTAAAGAATAATTAAAATTTTCAAATATATCATCAATTCTCAGCGAAAAAAGAATCTACATTTCTGTTGAAAAGTGAACAGCAATAAATCATGCATTTGCACATCGACTAATCTGAAATTCAGCAAGCAACGAATAAAGAAAATCTCGATGTCCACGCAATGCCTGGAACGCGTACGCTTTCGTGCCGATCATTAAAAGCAAGTGTGAAATGCTTTTGCCTTGAATGGAAGCCAATCTTCGCGGAATCTCAATCTCCTCCGCGTTCAATTTATCTCTGTCTTCGTTGTCCCTCTTTCACCTATACCTCTTCCACGTCCTCTTCTTTCCTCCGTATCCTCCTGCCTCTAGAGACGGTATACTAAACGTTGATCGAAGAAGAAACTTAGCAGTTCTCACGAGATTAATGCTGGCGTAACGATGCACCGATGCATTCGGCCGTACGGATTCCCCGTTTCGTAACGTCGCGATTGCTCAAAACTCGCTCTAAATATCGAGCATCGGCGCGAGTAGCGAATTCTGCTCGATCTCGGATACCGTGAAAACACTGTTAAGATAGAAGGAGAACGATGTTTCTGGTAATTGGCGGCGTTGCTCAATCGGCAAACACGCGGGAAACATGATTTACGACGCGAGAACACGGTAGTAATATCGTTCGTTTAATTAAATCGCTCTGCTAGTTAACGTATCAATTAGGAGTTATGGTAGCTTACGAGGGAACTTTGGTACTCTGAAAATTCTGGGTTTATTGAAATTTTCTAGGTTTTTAGGAGATCTAAACAGACAATTTTTCTTCTTTGCTAGTTTTTGGGTCTTCAGGATCGTCGTTGATGCAAAATTTCACTTGAATTTCACTGGAATTTTAAATTTTGAGTTTCTTCAAACTTTGTAGAGTTGGATGAGACCTCAATAGACAATTTTTCTTCTTTGCTACTTTTTGGTTCTTCAGGATCGTGGTTGATACAAAATTTCACTTGAATTCCGAGTTTCTTGAAACTTTGTAGGATTGTAAGAGATCTAAAGAGGCAATTTTTCTTCTTTGCTAGTTTTTGGGTCTTCAGGATCGTCGTTGATAAGAAATTTCCCTTGAATTTCACTGAAATGTTAAATTCCGAGTTTCTTCAAGTTTTGATGGGTTGTAGGAGACTTCAACAGACAATTTTTCTTCTTTGCTACTTTTTGGTTCTTCAGGATCGTCGTTGATAGGAAATTTCACATGAATTTCACTGGAATTTGAAACTTTGCAGAGTTGTAGGAGACCTCAATAAGCAATTTTTCTTCTTTGCTACTTTTTGGTTCTTCAGGATCGTCGTTGGTACAAAATTTCACTTGAATTTCAAATTCCAAGTTTCTTGAAATTTTTGCAGAGTGGCTTAAATTCCGAGTGTCTTGAAACTTTGTAGGATTGTAAAAGATCTAAAGAGGCAATTTTTCTTCTTTGCTAGTTTTTGGGTCTTCAGGATCGTGGTTGACACAAAATTTCACTTGAATTTCACTTGAATTTCAAATTCCGAGTTTCTTCAAGTTTTGATGGGTTGTAGGAGACCTCAATAGACAATTTTTCTTCTTTGCTACTTTTTCGTTCTTCAGGATCGTCGTTGTTAGGAAATTTCACTTGAACATGACTACTTCGCTTAGCAAACTATTATACAAGAAATTATTAAACTATTGCCATTGGAGAGTTACTGTGCGCTAATCGGAAAATAGGAAATACAAATGAGATAATGGGAAAAACCGAATGGATAATTTCCGTTAATGATTTCTTCAAGGTTTACGACAGTCGAGAATTAAAAAATTCTTGAGACGATAGCTATAGTAAAAATTCACATTTACATCTTCATTTCCTTCTAAGGATCCTGTTTTTAAAGATTTCTAGAGATTCATCGCTATCACACTTATATTCCTAATATCAAAACTTATCTACTTTCTTGCCTAACACTCTCTCTATCGCTAAAATACACCCAAAACACACTCTTCGAACACCAAAATCTTGAAACAGAATAACTTTAATCTAGCTTCAATTAAAATACCACGATCCATAGTTCCTCCATAACCCACGAATTTCCCCCTGAAACACATCTCAGCCACACATTTCCATCGATATTCAATCCCCAGCCAATTAACTACATACCCAGAAGCACCAAAATGTCACAACCGTCAAAGATCACATTCGACCATGCTCCTCGAGGAGCCTGCATACCTCAGCCACCAGCCATTTCGAAACAG